TCTCATGATTTTGAGCCTTTTTAGAAGTTAGAGCATTAGGAAAAGTGCTTATGTAAATGCTTGTTTGTTTAGTACTGATAATCAGTCGCTCAGAAAGCCAAAGTACGTAAGTTCCAGATGTTTACACTAAATTCCGGCCGCCATATTGGTGTACCACGGATGTACACCACCATGGCGTTTTCTTTCAGGGCTCTGTAAATTTCTGGGAAACATTTACGACGAATATCTGAAGTTTGGGGAAACGCACAGGCCTAAAACTTGGAAAAGTGTCTTATTTAGTTATCTTCTATAGCGTACATCACAATTTCTTAGCTTTTTCCATTGGTTGATTTTCGATTTACTATTTTTTTTTTATTGCGTGACAGTGAAAACGATCTGAACCGTTCGAAGAACAAAACAGCAGCTGTGGAATATTTTTTTGTAAAATGATAAGACATGTTTTTTAGTTCATAATTTTTGTATATGTTCTCACCTTCCTCTGATATAAATCCATGCCATTCCTTATTTTTTGATCGGGATCATTTGCGGTCCAATATGGGGATCATTTCCGGTCCGGGATCATTTGCGGTTCAATTTGGGGATCATTTGCGGTCCGGGATCATTTGCGGACCCGTACAGTACTGTATTGTCATGGCCAAGCTTTTACCTCAAAAATGATCACAAAAACAAAGACGAGAAAGAGCGCCAAATACAAAATCTTCTTGGAAATAGCAAATTATAATTGAAAAAGTCAAATAAAGTAATGCAAGTACAAACTGGAATGATTATACTTGTCAAAAAAAGAAATTCTCACACACTATACATGTATATTGCACTGTAATATACCTTACAGAATGAGCACCTTTTGAAAAATAGGATGTAAGGAGCTGCAAGCATTTTGTTTTACGAGGCTATTTTTGAGCCAAGAGAAAAGTAGAAAAATAGATAAATTATTTTATAACAACTTTAGTTGCATAAAAAATATATAAATATCTACATGCAAATAGGGTGCCAGCAAGGAAGAACCTAATCCTCATATAAAGGATTCTTTCAACGTGTTTAGATTAATAATAGCAAACAAAAACAACAGATATTTGGAGAAACCTTCATACCAACAAAGTCAGTTGGTTCCAACTGCAAAGAAAGAGTTGTAAGTGCAGAGGTGATGCTCTCCATAAATATCGCCATGATAATGAGACCCAAAAGGACCCAGATGATAGAAAAAATTCAAACCACGATCAACTTTTGAGCAGAAACCGCTATCAATTTATGGTAGTTATACATTATCTAGTCAGGGGAATAAGTGATGTTGTAAAAGTATCAGGTTAAAGATTTTATAAGTTAACAGGAAACAAAAATGGTGGTAATGGCACCGAGTGAATAATGAAAGTTAAAAGTAAACACTCTAATATCAGTTTTAGACGTTGCTTCGCCTTGTTTCATTCAATTCGTTCATCGTTTTTTTTCCGAAAATTGTCAGTCGCAAGAATTTGCACTTGTGCGTCCAATTGCCATTAACGAACCCTTTGTTAAAAAATCCTTACCCCACTGTAGTCATGGAAATAAAGGACCACCGGAATCCATCCCAAGATCCTTTGGTGAATGAAGGTGGAAACTCTTCACTGTGCAGAATACTGTCTTAAGTAATGGTCATTTCCTTAGCCGTGCCTGCAGGGAATCATGGTAGTTGTATTCGTCAAAACCAATATACAGTTCAAGATGATGAATAACGGCCATGATTCATAGACGGAATTAGCCACTATGGTTGTAATTTAAAATGTTGGCAGGCCATGCTAATTACTGCTTAAGTATTACTCAAGGTAGCTTAAAGGGACATTTTGGAAAGTATGAATAAATGTAAAAATTTGTAAAAGTCTTTCAAAAACTTACCATTTGCCATCGTTTCGGCCGTATACGGTATACACTATGTTGTCAAACACCACTTTCAAAGCAAACTGGACGGTCTCATTCAAGAGATGTAATTGTTTATTAAAGAACTTAAACCTGTTCTTAGCACTCAATCTAACTCTCTTCGTGCAAAACGTTTCACATAGAACAATGTGCTCCTGATTTTAATTCCACTCATAAATACTTTATCCCATTTGTCAAGATTTATTTATAATCTTATTTACAAATATCATCGCGACTGACATTTTGAACTTGACAATGCCCTCATGAGGACGGCAAAGCGGTTGTTCGTTATTTATTAATTCTAATTTTTTTTTTACTACAGTAGAGGAAAAAGTTGAATCAACCCGAATGACCATACATTTGTATCTTTACGAAGACTTATTTCCATACAAAAATTTACAAACTTCCTGCCCTTTTTTTGCTGGTTTTGTTAAATGATTACAACTCTGTTAAAATGGTTATTTACGCAGTTGCAATTTCCCGTCAGGAAACTTTCATTCCAACGTTTTTAGTTTAAAGATATCGAACTACTGACCAATAATATATCATGAAAAAGGTAGAAAGTAAAATGTAAACTCTACTGTAATTAAGGTACTAGGAAATAACCAGTGAGTTCCCTAAGAACTTTAACCCTAGAAAGGGAAGAAGGGGTAAGGGGAAGGGGAGAGAGCCACACGGGGTGGAGAAATCATCGGGTGGATTATATCAAAATTATATCAAGCAACAGAGACCACGACTTATCACATCAACAGGGAGCGTAAGAAAACGACGAACGGCAACATCGCTAAACAAAAGGGTTAATGTGCATGAACCACGACGGCTAATTTTTTTAAATTTTCATTTCGAATTTATCGATGTGCCCTAGATTCACTTTCGTGTTAGCTTTGACAGTGGTAAACGAAGTAAATGACTTTAGGGTACCGCGAGATTCGTAGGTAAAATATAAAATCATATTTTAATCGACGTTGTCCTCGGAATTGCCGTCGTGGTTTCTTAAGCTCCCAATAGAAGACACGGCGCGCCTTATCTTCGACGAACTTCGAAGTGTTTGGAAATGTGGGAAACATTGTCTGGATTGCTTAATATATCTTCTCATTGAAAACTCTGAGACGAAAACAGAGAAAATAAAAATCTAGTTAAACTCTCTCATGGTTATGAATCCTTTGTTTACAACTTGACGAGTTATTGATGATTTTGAGAACGGTTTTTCCCAAATCAAAGCAAGGAGAGGTTTCTAAGGGGAAATTCGATCGGTATTTTCCGATAATAATACCTGCATACGTTAATCATGCAATGGCTTAAAAGGCTTTTTGAGAGGGCAATGCTTATTGCGGGGAAGGGGATTTCATAGAAAGAAAATTGCTTTAAATGTTTTGGGGTGAGTCTATTTATATTATAAGAAATGCTCAATAAAATAGCGATATGAAACACAAACACGTTCTGCTGTCCCTAGGCGGACATGTCAAGTCTATGAACATATACTGAAGAGATATTAAAAGAAAAACAAGCCCTCCAACAACCGAATGAAACTTTCACGTCACCAAGTTTGAACTCTTACAACTCACTACCATAATTTAGTGATGGTATTTTAATCTTGACACTTGGAATTCCAGTTTGTCAAACTGTTCTTGCGTTTTTCGAAGAAGCCTTCTTGCAGCTTCAATATCGTCATGGATTGTATCTGGTATCATTCCTTCACTGACTGCTGCCGCATCTAACGAGTAAGATTGAAAAAGTTGTTTCTTAAAGACTTGAATCGGCCTCGGCCGCACATTTGGGAAGGGAGAGAAGGGAAGTCATTTTCCGGTGATTTGAATTGCACGTCACAATGTAAGTAAGATGCTCACCCAAAGTATTAGGTTGTTTGGCCCTTCCTCTCTTTCTGAAAAGGATGTTCCACAATGTTCCAACGAGGAGCAATCCAGCTAATACTCCGAGCGAAATGTACATGAACCTCTTTACGAAAGGAGACGACTCGTCAAACAGATTGACTTTCCTGGCAGGCATCTGCTGAGTAAGCTTAAAGGCAAAAGAAAACCAGAAAACCACAGCATATAAATCACAGAACTACCTAGATATCAATATCGTAATGAAAGGAGACTAAGAAACTTCGTGGATACTGCTGCTTATGGAACCGCTATCGATTAATGCAGAGATAAACGTGGCTTACTACAGTTTTGATGGATTATAACAGACCAACTCCTAACTCTTTTGAAAAATGTTCCAAGATGTTTTTACGTTCTCTACTTACTGTTTGCTTAAGTCTTCTACCATTCTTTATGAAACGTGAACAATTTAAACGTCAACAAATGGCCAAAATGAACGACCGAGTACCTAAGGAGAGATTGGGCACTAGTAGGTTAGGTAACGTTTTCCTCAAAATCTGCCCGTATGACCCCACCTAAAAATTTCAGGAAATAGAAATTGGCTTTGATTACACATTCATGCAAAGTAAAATAAAAACCTGTAAGGCAGATTTTTTCGCAAACTAAGAAAATATGAAATTTTGCCTATTTCAAAAATAGCCGAAAACCGTAGCGCGCTTTACTGAGTCTCGGAAAAACTGTAGTAAGCCACCTTAAGTGTAGAGTGCAACTTGTTTACTAAATACATATTTCTACCGTGGTTCTAAGGCGTGGCTTGAGTTTGAATCCCACAGTTTGTAAGTCAGTCGTTCTAAGGATGAGGCGTTAGCGCAATCAATTGCATCATGCGATTGCAAATCAGGGGAAAACAGAGGAAAGCTTTATAAAATGCCACCTAAGACCTAAGTTCAATTTTACAACTTGAATCGTTACCTTGTACGTGGCAGTTATGGTTTGAACCGAACTCCAAATACTTGCACGGTGAAAATTTAATAAACACTCTGCAAGCTCCTTTCTATTTTTGTTGAAGAGAATTCCAATGTCTCTTTGAAGCTCTAACGTTTTGACGGTGTACAGCGATTGCAATTGGTTTCTTGACTGGTAATAGGAAGCTGCATAGCGATCCAGTAACATCCCATCGACCTGTTTTGATTTGACAGCCTGAATCATGTCATCAATTCTCTGGAATACTAAATAAAGGGAAACATGGCTAGAGAGTGTTGAAACACACACCTGAAATCTCTCTGATGTCTGAAAAAAGCGGTACCTACAATGTATATGCTTGCTACTGACACTTATAATACAGCCACCGGATTATAACATCCTTTATAGAGAAACACTCGACTGCTTCTCGTTTTACCCCTAGCCTTCATTAGCGCTCTAACGTATCGCTTCCTGCGGAAGGGGTAACCCTTTTAAACAACAGAGCACAGTCGAGGCTTGTTTAATTGTTAATTACAATTGCTTGTACTCATACTTAACCTGTGGGTTCAGCATCTTCTTCAAGAGCATGCTGGTATTCTGTTCCATTTCCCAACACTGCAACCTAATGGGGATTCCAACAGGATTATTAGGCTACTCAGGCTTACGATATTAACGAAAATGAAATTAAGAAAAAAACATAGGAAGAAGAAGGAGAAGATTAAGAGGAAAAAAAGATACAGTCGTGCTATTAAGAGGAACGAGACAAGGAACAAAGGGAAGAATAACTTGTTTAAAGTATAAAAGAGCCAGCAACAAGCACAACAAGAAGACACGAGCGAAAGTAGTCAAAGTTATTCCATTTTACGCAAAATCAGCATTTTGTGAGCGATCTTTAACCGGTTCAAGTTAAACAGGAAACAGAGCTCGCTACAGCTCCATTGAACTCAAGGTCATTTTTGAATGTAGAAGATCATAATTGATAGGGTCAGATGGAAGGGAATAGGTATATCGAAGATACCCGTATAGAAACATGACGAAAGCCAGCATATCACGCAATGATTTTCTCCTTGCATTGTAATCTAAACTTCGGGGATCCGGGATGATCGATATCTGGCCGATTTGTCGCACACAACCGACTCTCAAGCTACGTTTTCGGACACACAGAGAAAGGTATAATTGAACAAAAACGGCGAGTTGGGATAAAATCAGACCCACCTTTACACCAACGAGGCTACTTGGTTCCAGTTGCAAGGAGAGAGCGGTCAGAGCAGAGGTGATGTTCGCCGTAAACATCGCCATGATGACAAGGCCTAACAGGATCCAGATAATGGAAAAAAGTCGAGCTATGACAGACTTTGGGCATTTGTCGCCATACCTGATGCATACGAAATCCGTTAATAATTTGTAGTACAAGATGGAGGAACACAAAAGCACAACAGCATCAACAGTACTATACGTGTACAGAGCTAGGTCTGTCTTTAAAACCAACTGCAGACTTAGAAATTCGTTGATGGTAGTAAATGATCTACGACTTGCTTCATACTTTTAGAAAGGAATGAAAGGAAGCTTACTTTTCTCGAAACGACAGTTTCATAAACCCGGCCATAGTCGATGAGTGTTCAGCAACATGATTCAATGATGATATGCTACGCAATGCCAGACGCGGCAGGATTTTTAACGAATACAGGACCGACCATAGAACTGATGCCTGGGCACAAATGTTCTCAATAATGTTTACAGAAACACACCCTTAATGAACTGGTCTATAAACTTGAGGTAATAACACCTTCGTCATAGAACGTTTCTAAGGTGACTTGATTTAATGATAACAGTACGGTGAACAAAAGGTTGTCCTACCCTACTGTGGTCATAGAAATGAAGGACCACCAGAATCCATCCCAAGAACCTCTGATAAATGAACGAGGAAACTCTTCACTATTCCAGTGCGTGTCCTATGTATTCCAAAAATTAAAGATACAAATCAATAGTGGCATCTTCAAATGATTCTTTGAGTGCTTATCTGTTGACAACTAAGGCAATTTAATTTACTGTCGTGTGTTCATGCACAGAAAAAATTGAAGTACTGACCACCTGTTAAAGGTGATGACCCAAGTGGAAGGTTGATCGATTGGTTAAAGACCGGACTCACGGCGTAACACTGCGCGCACGTTTTTTCTTAAAGGCTGAATTGTTTTGTGTGTCTGCCCTGCAATTCTGGCGTGCAATGTTGCCTGCAAAATTGCAAGCTTTGAATCCCGTCCTACTTCCTCAATATTACGCGCAAGAATTACAGGGGTGGATGCACGTGTGAAAAATGTTGCACGAAATATTGCACGAAATTTTATCCCTTGTTGTGTCCAAGCCTTTTAAAAGGTTCTGAACCTTTAGTCCGGAAATCATGGGTTAAAGTCTAATATTCATCGGTAACTGAAGTTATTTCGTGGTAGTTACTAGTCCTACTCCACGCTTTTAAAGTGACCACCCTCGATCCTGCAAGTTAGGATTCTTAGTTGCTCATGTCCCATTTGCTGCACTTTATTCCTGAAAAGCTCCTCAGTCGATCGTCATTGTCACTCAAAGGGAAAGGATAGTCACAGATTAACCAAGCGAGCCAGCCAGTAAACATTAGAGAGTGAGTGAGAACAATTGTAAAATTGCATCTTTGGAGTCACCTCTCCAACCTTCTCGGCAAACCTGCAATCTTCCTCTATTCCTTATCAAAGTTTTCTCCAGAAATACATACAATTTGGATTTGGGTACTTCAAAGCACAAAATGAACTTACTAAAGTCTTCAGAAACCTTTGAAAATGATAAGAACATCTCTTCAATAAGGACTCCCATTCAATATACTGATACTTGGTATGTCCCCTCGGTGCCCGTATTAGAGAGCATCATTATTTATTCAGTTACTAAACTGCGAAATACTAGCATCAGCATGAAATCTCAATGGTAACTAAAATTACCGTCCTTGTGGACCATACAGACCTTTCCGCACAAACCATGTGTCTGACATGTAAGGAAATAGACAGCTACTTTGAAAGGGAACGTACAACCTACCTAATCATCGCATATAAATATAAAAGTACGCATGTGCATCTTCTAAGCGTCATGAAGCATTTCAAACAAAACTTACCAGCGCCCACATAATGACTCCAGCAATGGCGGTGAGAATGAGAGTAACTACAAACAGTGGCCAAGATTTCAGAACCGCGTCCAAGACAACGTTTATCCCTTTCGTCTCGTCCTCAGTTGTGATAAAATCGGTCCCAGGGTAATCGACGAGTTTTACAAAGGGGAATTCAATGTACCGTCGGTTTATGGGCTCGAATACTGGAGCAGCGAGATGAACCCTGTTTTGCGACAGCAGCTCAATCATTCGAAATTCGCTGTCAACGCGATTTGTTTTTGGGATGTATTTCCACCCGCTAGCATAACTGCAGTCATAAAACACAGACTGATAGAGCGCGTCTCGAATCAATCCATGGACGTCGTTGTCTAATGATTCATCGGAAGGTGATGTTGTGTATGGAGGCCTCTCGATCCAGGCCAGAAACAAATTTTTGTTTTCCTTGACTTCTTTTTCGTCGCCAGATGTGGACGAGTTACCATTCGCTAAAATAGCTCGAAACTGAGTAGTACCAAGTGCAATGACAATAACCGAAGCCACTGTAAACCACTTAGCTATCATCGTTCTAAAGAAGAAAACAAGTGTAAGTTTCTGTTTCACAGCGAATAATTAGACGAGCAACCAGGGTAAAACATATTAAAACTGGTTGCAAATTTAGGGTAGATGAATAAGCTTTCGACTGCCTACCTAGAGCCTTGGACGAATGATCAAAAAAGACATGAATGAATGAATATAAACAGCAAAAAGTATGGAAAATAAAGAATGAAAATGCATAATTAAAGTGTGACAACGAACGGGAATTTGAATAATGAAAAGAGACTAATTAAAGGAATGGCACACTGTCTTGGTAATGGTCTAGAATTATTGTCTGCCTCATTATAGTCATGGCAGTGTGCCATGACTCGAACGTTTTTCGCACACGATAATGGTATTTGTCAATAACTTAAGAGTCCCTGTCCATAAAAATGGAAAATAACTCGGCAAGGGTCGAAAATTCGATTTCGCTCATATTTTTATGGTAAATAGGCTAGGGCATGAC